GGTCATCAGCATTATGTGTTATGGAATCTGCACAGCTGATACAGATGGAGAGGTATTTGAGCATGAGGGAGCTAAAAAGGAAAGTGGCGATCGGGAGCTCACAGACGAAGGCAGTGAGGAAGAACAAGAGGAGGAAAAGAATGGAAAATACACAGAACTTTCAGATGGAGAGCTTAAACAGAAAGACATAGTGGAAAAGAAAAAAGACTAACTTGTTTAGCAGAAGAATTCTCTAGAATTTCCAAATAGATTTATTTATTGAAGGTTTTCATTTATTGATGATCTTCATGAAAGAGGACCGTTTTGTCTTCATTATGGTAGTTTTAACTTGCATGTATTCAAATTTTCTCAGAAATTGACAGAAAAAAAAAATGGATGTTTTCTTAATTGTCCTTATTAGATTAACAAAGAGCAACTTAAACTGAAGAAATCTGCAGGTACAGTTGTATACCATTTTTGGAAGAGTTATGAATTGTTCATTTCCAGAACAGCGAGATAATGTTACTTGGCCTTACTGTATGTGATGAACTGCTACTTGTAATAGCCCAGCTAAGCACTCATTCATATAAAATTAAGGCTGAAAACTAAGAAAGATGAAGAGAGCTGTGAAGTCTTTCAGAACCTGATAGCTAAAGACAAGTTATGAATTTTCCAAGAAGTCACATCTTCTACCTGTTGCACATTATTATGAAAAAACCCACAAACCAAGAAGCTTTTCTGTTTTCTCAAATTAAATGTAAACTCGTATGAATTGGAGGACTGTTCTACCATGTAATAATATAAATATTGGCAGTCAAGAATGTTTACTTGATATAGGATGTGGGAGTTATATTCTAAGTTAAGTGTTTACTAGTGCTCTAGCAGTTGAAAATATTGGAAAACTATGTTATAAACCTTTTAGAACATGATTGCCTGTTGTTTTCTATGAATGCTTGCACGGACTTAGTGTGAAAGGTATTAAGTTTCCTAAATCCACAGCATAACTTGATAAAGGAAGACGTAAATATAAAGACCCTCTGACGATTTTGTATAACCCTCTAATGACAACCTTTTTGAATGATGTAAATTTGGTTTACAGTGTTTAATTGAGATTGTTATATATCTTTGAGGTAGTTGGTTTTGTTTGAGACTGTTACTTACTCTGAAGGAGGGAGTTAGTAGAGCATATTATTAACATTTATATAGATTGATCAATATAATGCATTTTTCTTACCTTTCTCATCATAAAATTTACTTTTAATATAACCCTGTGACTCTGAAAAGGACTAATTTGTGTCCAGGGTTAAAATATCCACGGGTAAGCTATACAGGAGCCTTTGGCATTAGTGTCATAGAGAAGACCACAGAACTTACATTGCTCCTCCTTGAACTATTCCTTGCTGGGTTTTTTTCTTCTTTTTTCCCTCTTTCGTTCAAAACTATATTACTTTATAATACAAATTATGATGTCTTCCTTATAAGGCAGCGTGATCACATAAGAAATTACTATGCTATAGCACTAAATTCAGGAATTTCAAATAAAAAACATGGATAAGCTTAAATAGACAGGTTTTTATTTGAGTAAATCTAATGATGCTATAGAATTGTGACCAGGGAAAACATTGTATTCTTTTTCCCTGTAGGACAGAAACTTGTTTCTTCTGTTTAAGTAGCTTGGTAACAGTTGGCTTCAAGTTGCAATGCAGAGTAGATCCCTGACTTGAAAGATGTTGTTATCAAACAGTATAAACAACATGTAAAGAGATTAGGGATTTTTTTTCAGAAAAATTCTGTCTGGTTTTGAATCCAACTTTTTTCCTTTTGAGTGGAGAGAAAAAAAATGAGTTCATAGAATACTGAGTAGCATGTATCAGATACCTTTTTTTCCCTCATTTTTTGTTTTCTCCATTTTCCTTCTATGAATTTTTTTTATTTTTGTCATTATAGCTAATTGTACATAGTGACTTAAGTTTTTTGTTTTGTTTTTTGTTGATGTTTAATTTTTTTGGCAGAGTTTTTGAGGTGTAGTTTTAGTACATATATGAAGAATGAGATGCTTAAAAATGTGTTTAGCAAGTTTTTTTAACATGGTATTGAGGTCCTGGGTTGTTTATTAAAAAAGTTTTAAAAAAAAATATAAATAAAAAATCACCTATTGAAAAACCTATAAATTTCTTCTGACTTCAGCATAACTCAGTGCTAATAGTCAAAATATAGGACTATTAAGGCAGTAATATGTTTTTTTGATTTGTCTTCTCTTTAAGATTTCAAGACAGATCAATTACATATATTTAATTTTGTCTCAGGCTGGAAACCTGCAGCTTTTGATGTAATAAAAAAACTTGAAGTGGTCACTGGAACACTGCTGTTCCTTCTATAGAGTGTAATCAAAATGAAAAAATATCTGAGTTCTGCTGCACTGCTAAGAGCTGTTTCAACTACGAGCCTTTTTTTTGTGGTTATTTTTTGTTTGTATTTATAATCAGTAGTAACCAGTTAACTTGGTGAGAAATTTTCTGAGATGTGGACCTGAGTAAGGATAAATACTGTGGAAGAAACAGATCACACTGGGGTCTGTTAAAACTGTAGCACTTAGTAGCTAGAGTTAGGAGTAAAACCAGTGTCTTGGTCACTTCTGAACTCTAATATCCATCAGATGGGTACTGAACTATTGAAAGTTAAACTTGAAATGTACTACTGTTTTCACCAAATCCATTTCCCAGCTATATTGAGCAAGTCACAGGGAAAAGAAAAGCGTCCAAGTCATATAGTGGGTGTCAGAAGTGATGTGAGATTCAGGCATTTGCTGTGGTCACACAAGAAATCTAGAGTGCTGTCTGAGGGGAGGGCATTTTATTTTTTTTTTTCTTCAGTCTCTAAAGGTTTCTTAAAGCAACTTCACTGTAATAACTTGGGATTCATAAAGTAATGCTACTTTTTTAAGTCAAGTGTAAGCTTTTTCTTTTTCTGTAATAAAAGACATTTAAAACAGCTTGTTTCCTTTGCTTAATTTACAGTGTGTTAGGAGCTTAGATACTACCCGTTGAGTAGGAGGGTGCTTCCTGGGATGCTTGTTGAAAGTGTACTTTAGGCCTCAAGTAACACGGTGCAGAAATGCAGCTGGTATTTTGCAGTATTAATCTCTGGAAGTAGGAGTTAATGTATATAAATATAAAACAAATGCATTTCTAGAAAAGAAATTTTAAAATACCACACTTTAAAGAGTTTCTGTAGCAAAGGGATGCTGAGGCAGACTTACATCTGTCCTAGCTTACATCTCCTTCTGGAAGCACTTGACACTCAGATGTGCACAGTCTCATGCTGCTTTGTTATTTACCTGGGCTGTTTTAACAGCTTTTGTCCACACCGTGGTGCTCCCTGCTTAACAGATGGAAGGACTGCACTCTCATACATCTGATGTGTTGAAGATGGCACAAAAGTGCTTAATTCTCTTGCAATATTTTGGTAAAAGTCTTAGCTTGCTCTGTTTAGGTCCAGAACTAATGTACCCTGTTCCTCTTTTGTCAGCATGTTTGGAGAAGTGATTGTATTTGGAAGAGTGGAAGGCTGGAGAGTTGTTCTGATGACAGCCAAAAGCTCAAGTCAGTGAAGAAGGTGCAAAACCAGAATGTATTTCCCTTAAGTTGTTAAAATCTCATGAGACTGCAGATGTTTCAGGTTTTATTATCCTGTGACAGACTGGCTCTCAGATCTTCTCAGGGAGCAAAACAGTTTTCTGCGGTTCTCTTCTCATCACTGGGCACACCACTAACAGATCGAATCATACGAAGCAGTTACACCTTATATTGCTGTAACCCACAAAGACAATTTTGCCAGTATTGTGCTGAATGCTTTGTTGGACTCTTGGGAGGTTTTTGTAAACTACCTAGGCAGTGTGCGTGTTCCTGCAGCAATTGGCTTTGATTTCTGAAATTTTAACCATTTTAAAGGATTACCATGACTATCCCATACACAGTTTACTGACATAAGGCACAGTTTAGCAGCTGATGTGAACTCTCCTGTTGTTGGCAAACTTCTTCTGCTTACACGCTAAGGAGTATAGAACTGTTTGCAGTTGTTTGGCAAGGATAAATAGGCTACAAGTATTTTACATAAAGCATTTTTGAATGGAGAATTGTGGCTTTCAACAAGAAAACCTGAATGAGATCTGTAAGGTCCTTTGAAGATGACTACTAACGAGAGGAATGGTATTGTTTTGTAGCTCAGCTGCAAGGTTGGCATAGTCTTCATCTGGGTTGATGACTGTCCTGACCAAATGGGTGGGTGGTTTTAGGTTGTCTTGAGTTAAGCTTTGTTAAGCTCTTAGGCTGACACATGAAGGGGATGAAAATGCATAGACAGGAGTACTGGGAATGGGAGAAAGGGATGGAACAGGGCTATGTATTTTCATATCAGTGTCCTATGCCTTGAATGAATAAGGTACATTTAACATACATGTATACGAGTGGGAGTTTGTCCTTCCGAGAGAAATCTTATCTTCTCCATTTATTTACAGAAGCCTTTGGCTGGACAAGTTTGCCTGGCATACAGTGACTAGCATTACTACCGAATCAAGGTTATTTATGCATGTTTATGCTGCCTCTCAGCAGAAATGTACACTCCAAGTCATTCCAAGTAGCATACTTTAATGATCATCATTTGTTCAAAACAAAAACAAAACCCAACTCCCTTTCATCTTAGGTTGCTACACTGCTACTTTAAAGGAATGACAATTTGGAGTGTACTTAAATTTTTGCTTAGGTGGCAATTTGTAGTCTTAATGCTTTCAGGAATTAAAGATCTTATCGATAATGTAGGGTTTGTCTTTTCATCTTAAAAAGTGTTTTGGAGGCTTTTTTAAATAAAAAAAACCCCACATATATTTCAACAGTTGTTGCAATTTCATTCTTTTTACTGGAATAGTAAATGTTAACTCTTAATCCAATGCAGACAATGTACTGTTCATAAATTGTGAAAGCTTTAAGTGGCTCAATACTAAAAACAAAAAAACTTGGGGAGTTCAGTACCTAAGTTTTTTAATCTCCTCCCAAAGTAATTTTTTCTTTTATCACTGAGTTATTTTTACTTGGAACTGACATTTTTAAGAGAAGTGCAGAAGGAATGCATATTTTTAGTCTTCATGGCTCACTGATGAAATCCCAAAATGCTTCTATCCCATCTCGAACTGCCACAGGTTACAAGAGACAGTGCAATATATTGTGGTGTTGATTTGAGATTTATCTGATCCTACTGTGAGGTAAGAAGTATCAAAAGTCTTTTTGGAGTGGGTGGAAGGAGAAGAGGAGGTAATTTCTCAAAGGTAAATAGAAGTATTGTTCTCTGTTGAGTGTCTCTGACAGACAGACATCCCAGAAGATGAGAAGTACTCTTTGAAATGGATCTTCAGGCAGCTGCAAACTTCTTGTATCACATTATTATGATTTAAAATAGAAGATTTCTAGAAGAGCGAGGGTAAGTAACATTTGATTTCTAGAACAGGATTTAAATACAACTATGAATCTGGAACATAGTATATTTGTGTTTTTACAGGTTGCATCATGGTTTTTTATAATTTAAGCAGTCTTAGAGAGGAAAGCCTTCAATGCATTCATGTGAATCTATGTTTCCAGAGAGCAACTGGAATTCAAACATGATTCAGAAGCACGGGGTTCTTTCAGTGTGCTGTAACTGTATCAGCTTCAGATGTCAGAAATCTAAATGCCAAGATATACTAAAAATAAGACTTTGAGTTGCTCATTTAGTTTTGTAAAGGCTCAGGCCATGTATAGAAAATTAGTCCAACTCAGGCATTGTGTGTTATCTGATGGATAATGATTATCTATGACTTAAACAACCTTGAGAAAAGAAGTTGCAAACCTTCTTTTGGTTTCGTAAATAGTGGTTATGAGGTGGGAGGAATTTTTCATACTGACATCCTTAACTGTTGCGTCTAAAAGGTGTGATCTTGGCTAGCAACATGCAGCTAGGCTCATAGGGGAAGGAAGTTTGCAATGAGGGCTAAAGGTATGATGATCTTAAAGTAAGACTGTTCCTCATGTTAGTCTACAACGGAGGCTAAGAAAGAGTTCTAAAGTAAGAGTGTAATAAAATAGTGAAGCTTGTAATATTCACATCCAAATAATATGCTACTCTATCATACCAGTCATCTTAAAAGAATGTTAGAAAGACTCAGGTTTTGTCAGGATGCAATGCACCTTGTTGGTAAGAAAAAAGGAAGGTTTCCATAGCACTTCTTTTCACTTGTTCCATTGAGAAGAAAAAACACCTCAGTGCAGACCCTTGGTATGAACTATCAGTGCTGAGCTCCAGCACTAGTTGCTTTTCCCATGTCATTTCCCAGAAGCGGGAGCCCTCCTGCATATAGCAGTGGCTCTGGAAGCCTGTGTCACACACATGTGGGTCAGCCCCACAGTGGTTTTCAGAAAGAATTAGAAGTTGGCCACAGTGAACATGAGCTGGAAAAGTGGTGATAGCAGGGACTTCAGGAGCCCCAGCTTTGACACACAGGGCGTGTGCTTCTGTGGACAGCCATCTGAAGGCACAGGGGAAAGGACACCCTAAACACTTCAAAAAGTCGTCATTGCATTGCTGTGATGATGTATCATAAGGTGAGGAAGAATACATGAAGTACAGAGGTGAGCAGACACAAAAGCCTGTAGGCTATTTCCTCTGTTCAGGCCCATGTGTGCTTGTTTGAAGCTGGGACAAGGCCATTTCATTTTGGGGACAGCAAGCTCATGATCATAGATGTAGGCTGGCCTGTGCCTTTTGGTCCTTGGGCAGTGGACTTGCCCTGTCATGTTTAAATTAGAGTGTAGACACACCATGGAGCATTAAGTTCAGTTCCTGGCCATCTTCTGTTGACATGGAGTGCAGTTTTAGGCGAGTTACTTAGGCCATAGTTTCATTATAGTGCAACTTTAATGACAGTGCTGGCTTAAGGAGTTTCTATCCTCATGCCTTTCTAGGCTGTCCTTCAAATTATGGCCAGGCAATCTGTTGGAAGAACAGTGCTGTGAGTGGAACAATGAACTGATCCAGGTGAATACAACTCCTTGGACAGAACATTGTGCCAGAGTATGAGAGAGCACCAAAGCTTTGGAGGCAGCAGCAGAGTGAGAAACTTTTTTATGGTATTTCATGACAAGCTGGCTGTGCTGACTTAGATATTTATTTTGCCCTTTGCTTTCTCCCTCCAAAAAACAAAGGTGATCTGGCTGAGTCCTTACTTGAAGAGTGAAGAAACAGTGGGTTGCTATCTCAAGATCCCTCTTTGAACAGTAAAGTAATATTGCTTATAATTCTCCTAACATCTCCTTTCTAGGAGACAGTTAAAATGGAAGAAGAAAGATCAGAAGCCTTATCAGGTTAGGATGGAATATAACTAGGTAAGAGTGGGAAGGATGACACCTCAGAGCGTTAACTGTGTGGAGTCACTGTCATAGTGATCGGATGACTCACTAGGTTATACATTTGTGGATAAATTCTGTTTTAGAGTTCTACATGTGCGTTTAAGCCCACATAAGGCCTGAAGTCTGAGTCCACACTCAGCGATCCTTTTCATTTGTGCATAACTACTTATGCAAATAACTAAGAGAAACAGGAGCTACATTATAGAAAGGGACAGGATTTTGACATTTGCATTTTAGTAGAAAAAATTGTTTCATGTGTAGAGAAAACAACTAAAGGAATTTTAGACTAATCCATCTGGTGTCTAACAATTGCAAATTTTTGGTGTAATTTTCTGTATGAGAATCTAAGAGCTTTATGAGGTGGATAGATTTAAGAACTGTTTGAAGAGAAGGTCAAATGAAAATCTCACATCTGAAATGCTTACTTTTTAAGCACTTTCCCCAAGTTAGATGAGAACAAGGTTGTAACCTTGGAGAAACAGAGAAGGCAGTACCAAATGCTTAGATATATTATGTTCCCAGTAACTTGACAGGAAAGCAAAAGGCACCTTTAACCAGCAGTGGCCAAATGTGTGCTGACAACTAGCAACAGCATTGACCACTCCCTGTGGCTGAAAAGTCCACTTTCCTCAAGCAGTTGGTCATTTGCTTGTTATATCTAACAACTTGTTCTGGTTTGTTTACCTTCTGTTTCCTAGTTCTCTAATTTTCATTATCTCCTTTTGTATTTTGCCCTCTAACTCTTTTACCATCCCAGTTTCCCCTACACCTTTCCAAGTTTTTTTTTATTCTCCTTTCTTTCCCTCCCTGCATATTAGCAGCAATAAACATACAGAAAAAACCAGATAATTATGAAAAAATCTGTAGTTAGAAATCTTCATTCAGGCTACTTGTGTGGCCTCTCAAGTTGTTTCATAATGATGTTTCCTTAGTGGCCCAACATGCCCAGTATTCTAGTATTTTACACAGGTTTGCTCATTAATTTTGACTGGCTGTCTTGAAATTAATAGGCTATTTTACTATTAAAATAACATGAAAACTTGTTCCAGGTAACTTATGGATTTGAGATTTATATGCAGTACAGAAAACATCTTCTCTTTGAGCCTTCCTTTTGGGAGTTACCTCATTTCACTCCTATATTTAGAAAATTGGAGAATTTTAGATTTGTCCCTTTTGAATTTTTGCTACACTTAATGAAGAATTTAAGGCTTTCTTTCAGTGACAAACATACAGACAACCATTTGCTAATTAGTTTTGTCTTGACCTCAGATGATAAACGTGGTCTTGCAAACTTCTGTTTTTTCCCCTAGCTAATTATTAATTTCCATGATTACTGTAGATACAAACCTATTTGCTGCTCTTGCTGTTCATATAGTTAATCTTTGGATTAGCAATTGATGTCTAGTTAATTAGAATATGGATGCAGAACATATATTTTTCACATTGAAAAGCAGTGATTTGATTTTTTTTTTCAGAGTCCTTTTCTTTCCTCCTTATCTCCTGTTTTTATAGTTTTGGTGCAATCTAGAGAAAGCAGGTAATGTGATCTAGAAGTGAGTAATTTTAATGCAATGGCACAATGTCTGTGGAAAACACAGTGGTTACTGTTGAAGAGAAGTTGATATGTTTGTTCTCTTGGCAAAACTATTTTAACTGAATAAAGCTGATGTTCTTTGTTTTTCCAGACTGCCACAATGGCACTCTTGATTCTCATCTAGCCAAGGTGTATTGATGGACACCTCTTTCTCCTTCCCTTTCTTTGTTAATGTAAATATAAACAAACTAAATGAAAGCAAACTGCTGGGTTCCCCGTGAAACTGATGAGCCACATGGGTAGTTCTCATGATGAAAATATCTCATTTTTGTTGTTTTAGACATGACCAGTGCTTCTGTAACATTCACAGGAATAATTCCCAATTAGTCCAAATAGTTTATACTCGAGTAGAACTATGAGTTCTCTATGGATTTTTCAAACCTTTCTACCACTGCAGTTTATTACCTTTCTGCAACATAATTTTTTTGTGAATTGCTTGTTTGCTAATGGTATTATGTTAACAAACTTCTAGTTGTGCAAGCTCTAAATTTCTATGCAACCTGCAGAAATGGAACAGGAAAAACGATGATCCAGCAAACTCTCTTTTGTAGTATAAAACCCCCAAACATCACAAATTAAAAGTTAATTTGCCTGTATTCATTAAAGCTTAGTATTAAGACTTCTAAGTAGTGTAATTTCTAGTATCTGTGTCTGCTGCAACGAGCTGAAATGTTCCATTTTTAAATGGTTCTGTTTAGGCTATGCCACAGCTCAGGTCTCTCAGAAAAAATTGAATAATTAGCTTGGTCCTGCAGCATTGTAGTTGAGGTCTGTTAAACTGTGGTTCATTGAAATATTTGAGCCATGGTCTCCGAAAATGAATGACTAAATTAATATGTAACTTAAACAGAAGTCGATCTACAGATTGTTCAAAGCAAATAACCCCCCCTTTCAACTCTCTAAAACACAGCTGTTAGAAACAGATTTTTAATTTGCTTTGCTTTCATTGCTTTTGCATTCCACTGACCATCAGGTTCTTCAGCACCTTAATGCTGTTTCAGAGTAACTCGCTGCATAATGGTAAATAAATTAATAATTTTTTAGACTCCATATATCTACACAGATGCTATGAGATGTCTTTTTATGTGGATAATGTAAGCATAGTAACAATTGAACTCTCTCTAAAACAGAAAATCTTAATGAGAGGAGACAAAATATAAAACTTCAAAATAAATTTGTCATTAATAAAAAATTTTATACCTAGATCACACAGGTAAATGGTACCTAGGTGTTACTAGATCACACAGGTAAAAATGTTAGTATACTTATTTAAATTAGTATGTATGTCTTTTTAGTTTAATATATTCACGAGAGGGCAATATTAAAGGATTGTTTAATTATTCATTCTTTAAGTCTTCTGAGATTGAAGAAAAGGTTCACACTGATGAATAAAAAGAGAAAAAGATTATAACTGTCAGTCATTTGTATAATTCAATTTTTTAACA